TCTCATAATGCAGATCATGCAAAGTGTGCTAAGCTTGCTAAGCAGGTTGAGCATCCTGAGTTTGATGAGATGCTAGAGCTCTGAGTTGCAAAGGCTATACATGATAACATTTACCTCTTAGGCAAAATTTTTTGTTTGAAGTGGATGCGCTTTGCTGATTTGGCTAAAGTGCCTCTTGATGAGTGTTTGAGTCTCAGTGATGGCTGGCTCACATCATTCAAGAAGCGCTGCGGCCTTTGCAAGTTCAAGCGTCATGAAGAAGCAGCTTGTACAGATCCTGAGACGGTAGAGAAGGAGAAGGAGTGGGTGCGCGAGCTTATAAAGAAGCATGGCTATCATTTGAAGGATATTTGGAACATGGATGAGACTGGACTCTTCTGGACATGCGTGATTTAAATTATATTCACTGGCTTTGACTAAATATGTCTTACAGTATGCCTCCTGACCATGGTCTTATGGCCAAGCAGCTTTCTGGTGTAAAGGGGAGTAAGAGCCACCTTACATATGCAGTCACTATGAATGCAGATGGTAGCGAGTGTCTTCCTCCCTTTATCATTGGTAAAGTTGCCAAGCCATGGGCATTCCAGAAGAAGACCGGTAAACAACTCGGCTTTCTTTATCACAATAATGCCAAGGCCTGAATGACTACATCACTCTACCAGGAGTAGATCCATGACTGGGATGTTGAATTGAAGAAGGAGAATAGGTCTATTCTTCTTCTTCAAGACAATTCAGTGGTCATGTCCCTCCTGAGGGTCTCACTAATATTACTATTGCCAACTTTACTCCCAACCTCAACATGCACATTCAACCTACTAATGCTAGTAATGTCTGTGCCGTCAAGGCCCATTATTGTCACCTCTTCATGCAACGCGCACTCGAGCATTATGATCAGGGCATCACTCCTAGTGAGATCTATATCATCAATCAACCTGAGGCCATGTACCTCACTGATCTTGCCTGGAGGCAGTCACTGAGGATACTATTTGCCACTGCTAGGAGAAGATAGGTATTCTTCCTGATCTGTCTACTCCTTCTCCTACCTCCAACCCCCTTTCTGAGCTTGAGCAGTCTGTGTCTAACTTGCTTGATGCACTTGAGAAACGTGGTGTGCTTCAGAAGAACAACAGCGTGGACCTTGAGGGGCTTGTCAACTCAGCTGCTGAGCAAATTGTAGTGGAAGAGACCTTAGAGGAGGAGATCTGCTCAGCTGTTCTTGACCGGCATGTAGAAGGTGACATCATTGTCATTAATAATGATGAGACTGAGACACCACTCCCTAGCTACACAGATGCATTAGCTGCTGTTGCTACACTTCAGCAGTATATTTTGGGTGTTGATGGGGACTTTGCGTGTAGTATAGAGAAGGTACTAGCTGACTTTGGTCACCAGACTCGTCTAGAGAGCCTTAAGAGCCTCAAGAATACCTCTATTACCCAATACTTTAAGTCTGCTTAATATAGATGTTCTCAATAGCTTCGGAAAAAGTTGCATTTAATCAAAAATAAAAATAAAAATATTATTTATATTATTTATAGCCTCTTTCACAACCCATACTCTGTAATAACCTATACTTTTGAGTGTCTACCATAGAGTATGAGTTAAGACAGAGTTGACTGTAGTGTTGACAATATGCTCATGGACAACATTAACAGGTCAAGAGACCTTTCTACCTGTCATCGATGAGAGCATATTGGGCTGATCAGATGTAAAGTGTCTTGTCTTTACTAAATCTGTCATACTGTATCAGGAAAACACCTACCCCACAATGGTGTGTCACATCCTGCTCATATCCTAGTAATAATTTATTAGCCAAATCATAGTAATAAGCCAATGATGGTTCTAGGCACACATAATGCTGACTCAGCAATTCATGTTCCAGTATAGGAATAGATATAATTAGCTCACCAATGATAAAATAATCTGTTTCACACAATTAAATTTGTCAAACAAGATGTTATTACATATGCGTGGAGTAGATGTACAAGTAAGCAGATAGCACGGGGGGGTATAAATTGAGCAGAATATAGACAGGAATTTGCAAGAGAGTAGCAAATGGCAAGAAAGTAGTATAAAGAAGCATATAGACAAGCATGGCGTAACAAAGGGCAAGTGTAATGATATTGAGAAGTCTGACATCAGGAAAACACCAGCTTTGTAATGGGGCATTATGCTAAGTAATGGTGTCTAGCCAAGCATAGTCTAGATTTTTGCTATTATCAGCCATAAGAGAAGTTGCTGAAAAAGCAGTGATTGACCCTAGCATAGATTAGCGTAGAGTAGGCTAAATTAAAATGATGTGAAGCTCACTAGTGGTTTTGTGGAGGCTGTGAAAGCAGTGTACTGTATGTGCAGGGTTTATTCTGTAAGAAATAGATCAGCAAAGTTGACATGCAAGGGAATTTAGCCGGAAATAGATTGTAAGTAAAACTTGTAGAAGTAGGGCCGCACAGCTTGCAGAAACAAGTTATCCCTGACTCTAGTTTATCTATATTCACACACTCTCTTATACTTGTATAAGAGAAGAGAAATCCCCACACCACGGAGCTGCGCCCCGTGGTGTGTTTTGTGACAGGCTCAGTCAAATACATGTTATTGCTATTAAAGCAGGTAAGCTGGGATCTGTTGGATTTCATTGTCATCTAATAAGAGCTGGAGCAGTATCTTGATTATTCAAGTTGATAGCCCATATACTACACTAGCATTTCCCAGCCCTACCTTCTAGGCCGGGGG